TGGTAGGACTGGGCCGTAGGTTGCTGACCCCTGGTATATAGTTTCATATGATTGAAATGAAAATTTGGTAAAATGTGATGTAAAATTTATAAACGTTAGCCTCTTTCTTCTTTCTCCTCCCACTAAGCCCCACTCCACTCACAGTATGTCTTCAGCCTTTTAAAGGGACTTAGACAAATGTCACAGTCCATTTCTGCCCAAAGGCAGATGTTTGAGGAGCAGAGGTATCACCCCTCCTTTAGTGTGTCACCTGGCGCGGTCCACACCTCTTGCACCCCCTAGTGATGCCACTGCCAGTTATCAGGCTCTTATCATATTTTGGTCTGAAGTTACTAACAATTATTAGCCTGTTGTGAGGAAGTCATGATTTGTAGAAGTCTCATCATGGACCATTATCTTAAGACAGTGTTCATAATGAACTCAGGAGGAATTTCCCTGCTGAAAAGTGCCTCTTTAAAACAAACAAATATATTCTTTTTTGTAAGAGCTTAAGCCTTTGTAGTTCACCACATGCTTCTGTCCAATATTTTCAGAATCAGATTTACATAAAAGTTCACTATGTTGGTCAAGCTAAAGAGAAACTTAAAAGGAAGGAGGTATCACATTGCAGGAAAACCACTACCATGGGAGCAGGAATTTGAGGTCTGGCCATCAGAATGAAATATAAGATAGCAAGAGACACAGCTGGACTAAGCTGTGTTTTTGAAGTGATGAGAAACCTTTAGGTTTGACCATGGTTTTCTGTAAGATGAGCCACTGGACTTCATGTTATGGCATTTACCTCTCCAGTTTAGTATCTCTGGGTCCCAGATGGATTGCATCAACCCAGGTGAGCAACTAGATCATCCTGGACATGAAGGGCAATAAGATGTCTTCCTTATCCAGTTGGGCCTTACTCAAGAAATGCCAGTAAGGGCTTTTTGCATTCTGGTATACCCCTGTATCCATTTGTTTGTGCTTTATTCCTGACATCTGGCTTGATTTTTTATTTTGCTTTCTACTTTCTTTTCATTTTGAAGTCTTGATTATCATATATACTCAACTATAAATCAACCTCATGTATGAGTCAAGGGCAGATTTGGGGACCACATTTATGGATTTTGATATGGCCTATGAATACGTTGTGGGTAAAACTTTGAGACCTATTTTCACAAGATTCAAGAAATCAAGGGAAAGGTCAAACCAAGGATCAGGATACTCTATGACAATAAAAATAACATAATTCAAGACCAGGAAAGAATAAAAAGATGATGGTTGTAATACACAGAAGAGTTGTAGAAAAAAGATTACAACATGAAGGACTCATGGAACAAAGAGCCATATGAAGATGAACCCCAAATTCTAAAAACAAAACAACAAAAAAACCCACCCTGATGTGGAAGCTGAAATAAAAGAAATGGCAAAAACAATAACACAAGACTCCAAGAACAGATGATATTCCAATAGATCTGTTGCAATCCACACTGACAGAGTCAACTCTCATGCTAACCAACATATGTCAACAGGTATGGAAAACAAAACAATGGCCAAGAGATTGGAAGTGATCAATATACATCCCCATCCACAAAATAGAAAACACAAGAGACTGCAGCAACTATAGAACCATAGCACTAATCTCCAATGCAAGCAAAATGATGCCCCAAATTCTGCAGCATAGGCTCCAACCATACATGGAAAGAGAAATCCCAGAGGTCCAAGCAGGGTTCAGGAAAGGAAGAGGCACCAGGGATCACATTGTAAACATATGATGGCTAATGGAGTGTGGCAGGGAGTTCTAAAAGAAAATCAGCATGTGCTTTATAGACTACAACAAAGCCTTTGACTGCATAGATCATGAAAGGCTATGGAACACCCTTATAAACGTGGGAGCACCAAGATACTGATAGTCCTAATGAGGAATCTGTGCTCAGGATAAGAGGCTACTTTCAGGACAGAAAATGGAGAAACAGAATGGTTCCCAATTGGCGCCTATCACCCTACCTATTCAATTTATATGCAGAACATATTGTAAGGAAAGCAGACTTGGACACAGAAGATGGAGGAGTGAAACTAGGAGGAAGAAATGTCAACAATCTGAGATATGCTTACAACACCATTATACTAGCAGAGAACCTCACAGACCTGGAACAACTACTAAAGAAAATCAAAGAAGAAAATGCAAAGGCAGGCTTAATGTTGAACATAAA